TCTCCTCTCCCCACCTGGCAGGATCCTTTTAAGTGATGCATTTAGATCTGGTTTCACAATTGTTAGTATCAAATTCTTCTATTTAAGAAAAGTCCCTAAGTCCATTTTTAATATTCATAGGTAGAAAGTCACCTTATTCTGTCCAGAGATAGTAATTTTGAAGACATCTTATAAAAATGGGTCATAATGTGTGCATTACATAGTAGCTTTACACAACAGTACATCACAAAGTAAGGAAAGGTGCAGAATGAGCAGATAAAATTAGAACATCACCCTGTGTATTAGTTCAAGAAGCAATGTAACCCTGGTGGCTCATACCTGAAATCCTACCTACTCAGGAGCTGAGATCTGTGAATCACAGCGGAAGAGAGGACCAGTCTTGGGTGAAAAAGCCAAGTGAGCATTTGTCCTTGAGTTCAAGCCTAGTATTGGCACAAAAGAAAAAAAGCAATGTAAACATCAGTAAATGCTTTCAAATTGCTCTAAAATAACTAGACCTACCATACTATGTGTTTCTGTTTTCAATTTCATTGGATATAAAGCAAAATAAGATTGGTGAATTGTTCTTTGGTGCCAACAAGAGATTATTAAGAATAAAATTGTTACATAATGAAATGCATAGACCTTGAGTGCATGCTAATGAGCTTTGAATAATATGTGTAGCCAAGTAAACTCAGGCAAAATCTGGGACACTTCCTTCAGCCAGGTAAGGTCTCTGTTGCCCATTTAGTTCATTTCTGTGCCCCAGACGGTGTTACTGTTAAGTATGAACAGCTGTTTTTTATTTTTTGTTGATTGTGGGGCTTGAACTCTGGGCCTGGGCGTTGTCCCTCAAGCTCTTCAGCTCAAGGTGAGCACTCTACCACTTGAACTACAGCGCCACTTCGGTTTTCTGGTAGTTTATTGGAGATAGGTCTTTCCTGCCCAGGCTGGCTTTGAAACTGCGATCCTCAGATCTCAGCCTCCTGAGTAGCTAGGATTACAGGCGTGAGCCATCCGTGCCCAGCTTGAACAGCTGTTTTCTTTGTGAATATGATTCTCATTTCTTTTTCTTTTGTAGGAGATAAAGCATTCCGATGGCAGATAACAGGTAAGCCAAAGTGGGCTTTGTATGTATGGAATTTAGAGGATGATGGCTGATGGACTGGCTCAAGTGGTAGAGTGCCTGCAACAAGCAGGAGGCCCTGAGTTCAAACCCCACTACTACTAAAACTACTGAGAGCCAAGGTATCTTTCAGTAAACTTTTACCAGTTAAATTCACTCAAGGTCTAGATGAAAACTCTGTTTTCCTGTATTATCTGAGCTGGTGAAGAAATAGCTTTCATGAATAGTATCTCAGATGTTGATACTAGCAGACCAAAGCCATCATTATGCTTCCCAGCCCTTAGTCTCAGACCCCCCCACCCAGGGAAGTCACATCATTTGAGGTGGCTCATCCCAGTGGTCAAGGTCATAGTTATTTTTTGTTTTTGTTTTTTTGTCTGTCATGGGGCTTGAACTCTGGGCCTGGACGCTGTCCCTCAGCTCTTCAGCTCGAAGCAAGCATGCTTATCACTTGAGCAATAGCACCACTTCAGGTTTTCTGGTGGTTAATTGGAGATAAGAGTCTCAAGGAATTTCCTGCCCCGGCAGGCTTTGAACCATAATCCTCAGATCTTGGCCTCTTTAGCCACTCATTGTTAGTTTTCTATTTTCTCTGATGTTTGCTTTTGTAAATTGTGTGTGTACACCTTTATTGAACTCAGAATCTGGGCTCTGTCACTTTTTTGTTCAAGGCTGGCACTCTATCACTTGAGCCACAGCTTTAACTGGCTTTTTGGTGATAAATTGGAAGTTGAGAGTGTCACAGACTTTTCTTGCCTTGGTTGGCTTTACACTGCAATTCTCAGATCTTAGCCAGTCCTGGGGCTTGAACCCAGCCCTGGGTGCTGTTCCGAGCTTTTTTTTTTTCCCCTCAAGGCTAACACTCTGCCACTTGAGACACAGCTCTACTTAACGGCTTTTTAGTGCTTAATTGGAGATGAGTCTCTTGAACTTTTCTGCCTGGGCTGGATTGGAACTGCTCTCAGCCTCCTGAGTTGCTAGGTATGAGCCATCGGTATCTGGCTGAGTTTACTGTTTTTGAAAATACTTTCTCTCTGCTGTTTAGAGTGCTGTGGCCATTATCTCCTACACAGGCTGCTTGTATGAGCTGTTGGCTGGCTGATTGGTTTGGTTTGAGGTCTGGGAGCAGATTATGAGAAAAGAGGCTATAGAAATGAAAACATACTTGCACGCTGTGTGTTGGGGAAGGGCATGCTTGGTGGTAGGTTGTCCTTCAGAATAGAGGGGAAATCTCCACACACTCATGTCAGTGTTATTTCCTACCCAATGGGAAGTCACTGTAGACCCCTCTTCATATGTTATATAAGGAAAATGGCTCTTTGTGTTAGTCTTTGGAATTTTCCTTGACAATACACTTTTTAAACATTTTAGTTTTTCAGATGGAGCTCCTGCAGATTCCGTGGAAGCTGCAAAAAATGCAAATAACACAGGTCAGTCCACCCCCATGCAACAACACTGGAGGATGTGTGTAGAGCAGGCCTTTCTTCCTGGAGATAGTGATAATACTAATAAAAGATTTCTGTTTTGGGGTTTTTTTTTGGGGGGGTCTGGTCATGGGGCCTGAACTCTGGGCCTGGGCGCTGTCACTCAGCTCTTCAGCTCAAGGCTAGCACTCTACCACTTGAGCCACAGCACCACTTCCGGCTTTTTTTTTTCTTTTTGCTTATGTGGTGCTGAGGAATCGAACCCAGGGTCTCATGCATGCAAGGCAAGCACTCTACCACTGAGCCACCTTTCCAGCCCCTAATAAAAGATTTCTATCCTTTGAAGATTTGAGGAAAGTTACAGTAAGAGGAACATTGGTACCCTATCAAGTAATGTTTTTATGGTTGGAAGTTCAGACACTAAAAGCAGTAAGAGAGCGCGCGCTGGTGGCTCATACCTGTAATCCTAACCACTCAGGAGGCTGAGAGCTGAGGATTGTGATTCAAAACCAGCCTGGGCAGGAAAGTCCATGAGACTTGTTGGAAACAATAAAGTACAACACAGTAAGTCCGTTACGGAGGTGGGAGGGAGCTGTCAGGAGTGTGATGGTCAGGAATACTTCAAAGAGGAGGTAGACTTGGGAATGGCTTTCCAAGGAGAGGCAAGCAGCACTTGAAAAAGAAGCTTGAAAGTATGATGCAGTGAGCTGGTGAAAATGGTCTTTTTAGACCGAGAAGAGGTAAGGTTGTATGCTGAGAGATGCCATTTTACTTTGAGAAGCTAATCTCATTTTTGTCCTTGGGTTCTGAACACCACTTTTGGATTTGTAGAGGGGGAGATAATCAGAGATGGCTCACCTGAACTTAATCACCTGAACACCTTAGTTGTGAGATTGGAGCTTACAGTAACAGGAGAACTCAGAATTTCTAGGTATCAGATGATGAATATGATAAAATTGCTATTTTCCACACAGATTCTTTTACTATATTTAGAAATTACTAGCTAAGCAAAGCTATGTAGATACATGCTAGTAATTTTTCAACTCCTGGCATTGAGTGTGTTGGATGTACATTTATATTTCTGGTCATGTTTTTGATTTTTACCAGAAAAGCTCACGGATCAGGTGATGCAGAATCCACAAGTTTTGGCAGCTTTACAGGAACGACTTGAAAATGTCTCTCACACTCCCTCCAGCTACATTGAAACGTAAGTGTGCTATCAATGCAATAGATGTCTCTTTACCAACAAAGTCTTACATAGGGAGAGACATTGCCTGTGAGGCCAGTCTCTAGGACCCAACGACCAAACTCCCTGGCCCCAGGCTTGGGTTGAGATTGCCTGTTAGTGGAAGGAGTGTTGAATGGATCCTCGTGGCTGCTACGTGGTACACAATGCCATCCTGTGGCAGGGTAGAGGATTTACATGTCATCAGCATTAGCAGAACACAGAGTGTTGACTGGCTCTTAACTTCACTGCAAAGTTTTGCCTTGGCTCCTTCATGCAGGTAATTCTTGGCAGTGGACCAGTCTTTGGTGGTTGTTTTTGTGACAAGGTCTCTTTGCAGCCAGGCAGACCCTGGGCTTTGATCCTCCTGCCTCAGCCTCTCATTGTAGGGCATCTGGCCTATTTGCATGACTTGGCTATCATGCAGCCGTGAGCGTGGACGTGTCTTTACCATACCCTGACCTGCAAAGCTCTGGGAAGATGCCCAGAGCTGCGTCATAGGGACGCTCTATATGTCATTTTTGGAGAAATCTCCAAACCACCTTCCAGAGTGTTTGCACTAGTCTACATTCCCATTCCCACCAACAGTGGTAATAGAGTTCCCACCCCCCACCCCCACCGCCTCCAGCATTCCTGCCAACATTTATTATTGTTCAGGTTCTTGATGCTGACCAATCTTACTAGGGTAGGGTGGAATCTCTGTATTGTTTTGATTTGCAATTCTTTTATGGCCAGGGATTTTTTTTTTTTTTTTGTGAAAATACCATACAGAGGGGTTACAATTACATGGGCAAGATAATGAGTACATTTCTTATCAAGCACTGCTGCCTCCTCCTTTGTTGGCCAGGGAT